AGCTTAAAAATTCCTTTAATCACATACACTTGTTCATCACAGGAGAAGGAGATCAAATCCACGGCAAGAAAAACGTAACAGACCACAACACAGCCGAAGATTTGAAGAGCTCACTATTACTTTAAACTTTCTACCTACTGCAAAGCTCTGTTTCATCTTTCTTATAAAAATAAAAACATACTAAAGAGAATAAAGAGGAGAGAAATGCAAACATTCTTCACACCTGAACTCAGATTGCCAAATATTAATGCATACATGCTTCTGGCACGTAAAAGCTTTGCAGGCAGGTGATGTACTTCTACCTGGCCCGCACGGCACACACGTTACACGACCCTGTTTGAAACTGGCTGTACTCAATTCAGAACACACTCCTGCCTGCTAAACGCACGGATGCACCCGAAAATGAGGCCTGGACCATGCCTACTTTAGAAAGTGATTATTTTACCACAACATGTGGTGCTCCAGCCCCTCTATCAGCAATTTAGCCTGGTCTTTTAGACCACATGTTCTCACTGCATGTAACTGGTTTTCATCTTTCTGAGAGACCAGGGTTTGCAACAGGCTTGATGCACCCTAGATGCAGGGTGTCCAACTGGGCTTTCTGCAAATGAATGTAGATTAGAATCCATCAAAATCGTCCTCTGCAAATCCATCTCTATTGTGCACAACATAATGGAGTGATCAGGACGTTTCCTTCAAAACTACACTATTGCTGGGAGCTCCAACATTAATGCAGACATGACCCTAGTCCAGCTTGCAGCTTCTGTTTTCTACTTAGCAATTGTTCGATCTGATGAATAGCATTTACTGGCATACAAGTAGGCTCACGCACTCATCAAATTCTGAGTAGCAGAACCCAAAGGTGCTCTAGGGACTAGGCAACCCAGCACAGACTGCACTTTATCTCAAGTCTCATACAGGTCATAAAACTCCAAACACACATCGTGAGTGTCCAGGTCACCCTCTTACTATCCACAATCCAGTGATACAGCTTTCCAGGTATGCTGTTTAGAAAAAACTTGGTATGTTTGTTACCTTGACTTGTACTGCTTTGTGCTCATTTGCATTTGGTGTGTGATTTGTCAGATAAGTATATTTAAAAGAATAGCCAACACCAAATCCAAGAGTCTGTGCCAATAGGTCCAAGCTAACCTCTTCCCTGTATAGCACGTCCCAAACGTGGGCAGAGGGGAAAACAAAGCATCTGTGGAGGGCCTGAAGACTGAAGACACAAGCAATGGGAGCATGATTGTCAAGATCCTATCTTATGCTGCTGATGTTTATGCCTTAGAGTTCAACGAGGCAAGTGAGCTGATGGGGATAGTGCAAACTCTGCCTCCTGTCAGCAGGACACAGGCAAAAAACACTGTTCTGATTCCTCTACTAGAGGAAGCAAATTTCACTTTTTTTTACGTCAAGGTCCTTCACACACAAACTAAAGGCAATTGTACACTTAACCACCTCCTTTGGATGCTGTGAAAATTAGTTAATGTTTAGAAGGCACTGATGAAAAGTACTTAGTATGTGTTAAGTATTAACACATAATTAAATTGTTTTCCTCCTCTCATTTAAGTGCCTTTGACCTACTCCTGTTACTTGACTCCCCATGACTGAATTTTCTCCTCTGTGACTTAAAAAAAAAAGGAGGCTAATTAAGTGCAAGTTCTAGTGTTATTTAAAGATTATCTGTTGTGCCACATATTTAAACATCAAGTATAGTTGAGCAATTTCATCCTGGAACCAGTGATTTTTTTCAACTAAAAATTAGCTTAGTAGCTACTAATCAGCTTGCAAGACAAATATAATGGGAGAAAATCAACTTAAACTCTGTTTGAAGTTTGTGCCACATCATTATAAAGAAAGACTAATCTGCTAAATAATTAAGGCTCTGTATTTGTGGAGTGAGACTAAAGAAACATTTTAAGTGGCTAATAATTCTGTGCTGCCATTTGCCTCTTTAATCTATAATTAGACTATATACCTCAAATATGGATAGTAGTCTGACTAAAGTTTAACAGTCAGTAAAATGGGCTTTCTGAGAAAGCACCAGATCTGTGCCAAGGAAACTAGAGACAGCAGTCCCCTTTGGTTGCTATCTGTGGTTAGAAGTCACCCTTGTATCTGCTGACTGAGCAACAAGGAAAATATGTTAGAAGCAAGCAGCTTCTGTCACAAAGATATACACATATCCTTATTAAAAATAAATTACTGCAGTAACAGCTGCAGGCACTGCAGTAGCTACTGAAAACTGGAATATTTGCTGTAGAACACCGTTCACATTCCACGGCCACTTCAGTGTGTGTACTGCATTTTCCAGAACAAAACATTCTTCCTGCAGAGATATTTTCAAATCTGACTGCCCAATATGGGGCACACTGTTTCATAGTTAGCCACACAGGAAATGTGATGATAGAATTCAAAGCCTGTGGAAATCAGGAGGATAATGCCCATTAGCAAACAAACTTGTAACAACTCTCTAGGCCAGAGACGGAAGATGCAGCCTGTTACTTACTTTTCTTGGAGAAGAGTTTCTTTCTCTGTCCAATGTGGCTCAGCTTGTATTCATTCTCTTCACAACTGCAGTCTTCACTATTCCTGTTGTAATACTTGGGCAAAATATTGGACATGCCTTTGCTATTGCCTGCAGCTGCCAAGTTTGCCATTCCCTTGCACTTGTGCAGCTTGAGCTTTCCGCTGGCATCTTCCACACACTGCCATTTCTGGAAGAAAATTTGGTTATTAAGACTCTGTCCCAGCAGAGCTAACGGCCAGCTACAGCAGTCTATCAGATACTCCTTGTTGTAGTAAACTGGGACCCATCTATCACCTACTATCAAACCAGAGTTTTTGTAACCTTTCATTTTCAGACAAAACAGGCAGTCTTTGGAACCCTCACATTTGATTCCAGTTTTGTTTCTTGGAGGCTAAAAACTTGGAGGTGACAAGTGACAACTTTCAGAAGCATAACTGTGGCATAAACCAAGGACATTCAAGCCATCTCCACAGGTTGAAAAGAATCTTTCCCACCAGTAAGAGTGCTTGCCAGGCTGGCAGAAATCTATGCCACTACTATGCCATTAAAACAGCACCAAACTCCATGTCTGCATATAATAATCTCAGCTCCATCCCATCCTTTACAAGGAGGGAAAAAACCTTCTGGAGGAGTCTCTTCTTTCCTAGTTCAAATGCCTGATGGCGAGATGATTTTATCCAAGTTGTGAACTCTTTGAGATAAAGATCTGGTCTGAACTGGTTATGTAGACTCATTCTGCAGTCCAAGAGGAGGAACAGTCACTTCCAGGCTATAATTCACTTCATCCTAACGCGGTCATATAAAAGAGCTATGAAAAAGGATTCATAGACTCATAGAATCATAGAATGGTTTGGGTTGGATGGGACCTTAAATATCACCTCATTCCAACCCCTTTGCCATGGGCAAGGACACTTTCCCTAGACCAGGCTGCTCAGAGCTCCATCCAGCCTGGCCATGAACACCTCCGGGGATGGAGTGTTTTGTAGGATTGCCCTGCAAAACTGCCTGTTTCTCTTCACTGACCTTTAAAAAGGTCCAATCAGCTGTGACAGCCCGTAGTTAGATGAGTTTGTCTCCATCTTGACTGTTTCTCAGAGTAGCTTTTCCCATTCAACACCCCTGGGCTTGACTAGCAATGGTGAGTGATGCCTCTGAAGTGAGAATCACGTCTCTCGTGCACTCAAACTAGAGAAAATCTCACATCTTCTCTCCAGTTCGCTCAAAACCTGAAATAACTTGCTCATAGATCCCTTTGTGCTGCTGCACCAAGGGCAAGGGAATTTAGCTACCTTCAACGCGGCAGAGAAGTTCTACCTGCTTCCCAGGTACATCACAAAATCATTTCACCTACTCCTTAATTCACCAACACTGTACTAGCTACAGAGGCTTTGAGACACAAGAGAACCTCCCTCACAGTAGCACTTGCTAGTGCTTTAAATAGTCTCTTGGAAATACTTCAACTTCTTGCTTAGTCTTGAGGAGAGTTCCTTTCTCCCCTATTACAAAATCCTAAGTCTGTGCCTCTAGGACTCACTGGAATATTGAGAATTTTCCAAATACAAGAAAAGAAGGAAAACCAGAAACAGCTTGCAAGTGAGATGGTATTTTACAGCAGCCTGCAGCTCTGTAAGGGAAATTCAGTCACTGCAGTTCCCACAGTAAGGTGTGCACAGGCTGGGACAACAAAGCCTACATTTTCCACTGACATCCACTCCACTGCTTGCAGGACAGAAAAGTAAGAAAACTGTGCTTTTATAATCAGACTTTAACAGGAGTCAGAAGTGAACTGGCCACAAGTAAACTGTGGATTTATCTATGTCTGTGGAAGATCCTCCCACTAAATGATCAGTTTCATGGGGTGTCCTCTGATTTCCTCAGGCAACTGGATGCCAAACCTCCTGAGCTATATAACTGTGTCCAACCTCCTGTACAACCCAGGCCTTTCACTGCCACAGATAAACCTGGCTTAACTTTCAGCACAAGGAATAATAGGAGATCAAGGAGACATACTGACACTAAGACATCCGAATTGGACACTTTGCCTGACTGTCACCATCTGTAAAGCAGTACATACTTACCTAGATGGAGCATAGCATTAACCTTTGAAGACTGAATTGCTCCCTTAATTTTATTATTTTTATGTCTAACACTGATTCATGCACAGACTGAGGTTTTAAGAAAAAGCTATTTTACTAGATTAAGCAATAGTTTCTTTCATAACAAAAAGAGATGTTCAAAATGTTTGTTGCTGTTTCCCATTTCAATTCATCTGAATCTTATTTCTGAAAATATATAAACAAACTGCATTTTCTGCTCAGAGGGGCCCTGTGCTGTGGGTGTCTAATACATGAAAAATAAAAATTCAACAGAGGGCAAGGTAAATGCCACGATGAGAATTACTGTAAATAAGTGCTCTGATGTGTGGCCCAAACATGTATTTTCTCTATTTCTTTCATCTCCTGTCAAGAAAGTGATGATCATTTTTCCCCTCCAGGTAACTGGAAAAAAAAATCCTTTAATTTTTGGCACAGTTTAAATCTTTCCAACACAGCTGTATGCTACAGTGAAAACATCTTAAAGGCTTTGCTGGAAGGGCACATTGTGTGCATTAACAGGCTCACTGCGGAACGACTGCAGTGCAGAGCTACATAAATTACTTTAGAAGCAAACGCTGAATGGAGGGGGAGGGGGGGAAAAGGAAAGTCAAGCTTTTACTTTTTTCCCCAAAACACGTATGGGCATGCGTGTGAATGCGTCTGGGATTCAACAGCTTATCCTTGGTTTGCTTGTGGGTACAAATGCAGATTGTCCAGGTTGATTTCATGGCTGTATCAGTTGCAGTCATTTCTACAGCATACTTTCAAATTCAGAGGAAAAGGGCAGGAATTGCAAGCAAACTGTGAAAACCTCTGCTTGAAGGTTAAGAAGCTTGAAACTGCATTTAGAATTGCTTTAGTCCACAGCACACCATCTGCTCTGCGGAGAAGGACCTGGGTGATCCCAGAGGACAACAATCTGTCCAGGAGCCAGCCGAGAAGGCCAATGGTATCCTGGGGTGCATGAGGAAGAGCACTGCCAGCACGACAAAGGAGGGAATCTCATCCCTCTACGCAGCCCTAGTGAGGCCAGTTCTGTGCTCCTCAGTAGAGCAGAGACATGGAGCTCCTGAAGCAGGTCCAGTGGCCTGTTCAGCCTTGAGAAGAGACAAGTGAGTAGGGGCCCCATCAACTCTTTCAGTATCTGAAGGGAGGGTGTCAAGAGGATGGAGCCATGCTCTACTCAGTGGTGCCCAGCAGCTGGACAAGAGGCTACAGGCAGACTGATGTACAGGAAATTCCACTTGAACATGAGGAAGAACTTTACTGTGTGGGCAACTGTACATTGGAACAGGCTGCCCAGAGAGGGTGTGGAGTATCCCTCACTGGAGATACTCCAGAATCATCTGGATGCAACCCTGAGCAATGTGCTCTAGGATGACCCTGCTTGAGCAGGGAGGTTAGACCAGATGACCCACTGTGGTCCCTTCCAACCTTACCCACACCGTGATCATGCTGAAACTTGTGTTAAACCCTGGAAGCAACTAAAATACTTTTTAAGGGATAATCCCTTAAATAATTAAATCCCTGAATGAAGAACTTCAGAGTACCCCAGAGATACTTTGGCTCACAGGTACACGATACCCATTCAGAAGCAAAACTTAAGCAGCCAAGAAAGCAAAGTGCCTTTAGTTGACCACCTGCTCCCAACTTTTTAGGTATTTTCTTCATTAGGGCAAATGACGTGTTCCTAAATCAAGCTCATAACATCTCAAAAGAGCCAAGTCCGGAAAGAGAGGGGAGTTTAACCAAAACTCAGTAGATCACAGAGACTGCTCCACAATCTTCGTCCCAGCTCATATCAAAAATTCCAAAGGAAGAACCTTTCTTTCCTCCTGCAAAGCCTGGCAGAACAGCTACTTAAGCCATCAAATAAATGGCTTCTGTAGTATGTCCCGAAGTCCAAACTCACACGGTGCAAGACTTTCCAGACACCTCATTTAAACACTAAAGCGGTTCCAGCTGGAGATCTCCCACCATCCTCAGGCAGGCCAAGTTAGCTGCTGTACTCGTGCTCTCTGGCACCATCTGTGCCAGGCTTGTTCTGAAGCTTCTGCTCCATCCCCTACCCCACCTCCCACTGCACAAGTCACGCTATTCAGCTATTTGATTGCAAAGCAGAAGAGTCTGGGCTTTAGTTTAACAGAGAAGTTAGTGGTACCGAACAGAAATCTTGTTCAAATGCACATTGCAAAGGCAAAAAAAGAAGACAGTTTGTAAGATATATTCTCCCCTCCAGCTCAAACCTATCTGCCATATGTACCCAAAAGTAACTTAGGACTGCGATATCTATGAAATATGAATTTTATCAGCAGCACTTGTAGACTGAACAGATGCTTGTTCTGCTCCAGTAACACTATTCACCTTGAACATGCAAATAAAGCCTTAGCAGAAAAAAAAATGTTGTATTTTTCTGTGTCAAAAACCTATTATTTGCTTTGCAGCCCTCATCACCATGAAGTGGTTTTTGCATTATTGTGCATCAATGTCTTCTTATTGCTACAGCAATCACAGATGTTAATTCAAAGTCATTACTTGACACCTCAATCAGAAATAAATAGACATGACTTTCCCTGTAGGATTTTTTTCTATAATTCACTCATTTCCCTCAGTGAATCTCTCTTAAGTGACATTGCTTTCTTTGGGGTAAAACGGCTGATCAACAAGCCTTGCTAAGAAAATATTCCAGTTGAAACACACAGCTTTCAGAGCTGATCCCTAATTCATCATGCTGTGTCTCAGCAGCTGATCTTTCACAGAGAAATAAAAAGTGAAACAGTCTGATCAGTGAGCTGCCAGCAAGGCTCCCTCCCTACCAGTTTTAGGGATATAGTCTCTAGGACTCAAAGTTTCTACAAGATAAAAAAGTCTTCCATCTCTGCCAGCAACTGACATAAGTCCAAGCTACAGTGGTCTCAGAAAGTGAGAAAATATAAGCAATTTTTCATATTGCTCCTCTCTTGGCACTAAACAATGGCCAATACTGATTGTGGTGGCAGGAGTATGTTCTAGAGATGTCTCCTGTAAACTGCTGAGGAAGGCACACATGGATCAGAATAGTTTTCATCATTGGCATGCCATGTTATGTGAGAGAACTGCAAAGACCAAGCAAGTGACATGCTTTTACTTATGGTGCCTTCAGGCCAATTACAAAAGAAAATCCCTTCATGATCTTGGTAGAGCACAAAGCAATTGGAGGTAAGACTCTGTGTCAGACCTTTCATCTGCAGAACATCTGAAGGAAACAGTACAAATGTTTGCATTTTGAATGTCTGCCTGTGAAAACTGCCATATATGATGTTTTTTGATGCTATTTAAAGGCAAATTCTGCTTGTATCAGATTTGCATGTAAATATAGCTCTGAAAATGGAAAGTATTAGAAAAGAAAATAATGTGAATTCAAACAACTATTTTTCTTCATGAGTTACCAATATTATTGTCCTATGCCTGGTCCTGATAAAGACAAAATTGATACCTTTTAATTTGGGGGGTTTTTCACATGCACGCCATAGATTCCCTACAGCAATCAGCACTGCTGCAGGCATTGCACGTTTATCAAATATGCAAGAAGTTGGCAAATGAGAAGGAGATTTTGTGCAGCTGTTGTTATGGTACTGTGGAGTTGCTGGGAATACTCTACAGAGCAATACTGATATCATAATTGGCTTCCACAAAAGCACATTAGTGCAGGCCACCAGATAAAAGTGGGTCAGCATCCACTTACCAGCCAGTTTAGAATGAAACGCCAAACTATACTGAAGAGAAAGAATGTGTGTGAAAGCCGTTAGGTCCTAGGATAAATGTTTTTTATTTCATGTGGGAAGGGCTCATCCCTTTTAAATCCTTGAGTATAAACGGTGAGCTGCTCTTTCATCTAAGTCTACAGTCACCCTGTGTTGAATGCAAGTAACTAACACAAACCAAACTCTACTAACTGATAAAGAAAATATGGCAACACAGTTTCCCATTGCACTCAGAAGAACTGACATATATTAGTGTTGCCAAAAAAAATTTCCACATAATGGACTGTGAAACAAGGTCGTAAACAGCATGAATAGCCTCATCTCCATGATCCTGGTGCTCTCTTACCAAAACAGTTATAGGTCAAGGAGGACGACAGAGATCTGCGAAGGAAGATCATTTTGTGGCAGTAGAACAGTATTCACAAACTTGCGTGCTCACAAAGCAGGATTTCAAATTTTCCATCTCACATTCAAAGCTTTCTTTACCTCTCCTTTACTTTAAGCTCTGTCCTTGTCTCTTCTCATTCACTCTGCTTCTGAGTCTTAGTCCTCCATTTGTGCTTCTTGTCTCCTGCTCACATTTCAGATTCCCTGGCACTGCTCAGACTTCTCTGTGCATGGAATAGCAGGTCCCCAAAACTTGTCTAAGTCAAAAGAAAGTCCCGGTGACTTTAGCAAGCTTTCAACTAATTCTGACCCAGACTTCTCTTCACCTTTTGATCAGGATGTGAAAATTAATTTTTAGTACCGCACACTCCAGATACTGTTAGATGAAGTGTCCTGCAGGATCAGGAGACATCTGCTAAATATCCACTATACCTGCATACCATCAACCCCCCATCAGGCAGTGGTATGTTAATAATTTGGGCTTGTTCTACTTACTATGCCGAGCTATGAACAGCAGCAGCAAACAGACAACACGCATTTGTCATTTGAGAAATTACTCTTGCTTCACTCTGAAAACGTTTTTGGGTGCACCCATATTTAGACATGATTTATCCTCAAATAAGCACATTCATCTCCCACTATTCCCATTGTCTAGATAGACTACTAGGATATATTCTCTAGAGCATGGGTTAAATGGATTGAGACTCCCTTGGGAGCCCTTCACAGACTCTGACTGACTTGACTGTTCGGCAAGTTTTCCTGATGTCCAATGTAAATTTCCTTTTTGCTCAATTTCATCCTATCACTTCCAATTACATCTGACTGAACTGCTCAAAACAATTCTTCTCTTCTCTGACTCCTGACAATGAGGATGCAGCACACGCATCTCTTTCTAGCACATCTTTACTTCAGAATTTATGGGTAATTCTGAGTACAGAGTTGACATTTTATGCCCACTTCTTAAAGATGTCAGATATTTTATCATCCATGGAAGAAAACATAAGCCTGGAATGTGTGTAGACATTACAGGGCCTTCCCCCTTTCTTCCACAACTGAGATATGTGGTAATTAGAGTAAGAAAGCCTGAATGCAGCTAGGTTACCTTATGCAAAGAGACAGACCCAGTGACAACACGGACTTAGAAAGTCTCTCTTCCCCTCTGTTCTTACAATAATGTTTGAAATAACTAGGAAGATGAAGACAGACAGAAGAAGTTGAAACATCTCTCAATAGGAAATACTGAAGGAAAAAGAAAAGCTTTATTTCCCCATACTGCTTACTGGATGACGCTGTAGCAGAAACAGTGACTTTCCCCCCAGTTTCTCAAGTAATACCACAAATTCATAAAACAATGGCTTGCTCCCATGCAGCTGAAATTTTGGCTCAAGACATCTGATGACAACAAACTATTGCATATAATATTCCTTTAAGTTTAGTATGTTTAGAAGGAACAGGACCTTATAATCTCTCTGTATACTAAATCTGACAAAGAAGCCAAATGGGATCCAAACATGTAAGGAACAATGGATTTATTTCACAGGTGCACTGAAGTACATGATCAGTAGAGCCAGAAGAAGGGAGTCTGGCCTTTGACAGTAGAAAACGAACTACTTTGCCTCAGTAGCCCATTACTGACTATAGCCTTGGTAAGCCATTCAGATAGTGTCTGCAGTACAGTTAGTACTCCACAGACTGACCTATCCTGACAGCCCTCTGAACTGCCAGGATATGACATAATGCCAGTCTACTAACAGACACATTAATATGTGGACCCATCTACCTTCTCCCCTTTGTCCACGGGGAGAATGTGTTACAGTCCTTGGAAGGGAGTACCCTGACCCATACCTGGATGAGAGAGCAATAGCATAGAGTCAATTCTGCCATGTTTCCAGAAGGTGAGAACTCCTCCAAGACTGGAGAATTCTCTGGAGATAGCTATGCTATGGCTTTGCACTACTCTGGTAAATATGCAAAACCCTCTCCCATGCAAAGACCATGTACTGGTACTATTCTAAATTTTTTCCCCTGAATTTCTTCTGTGTAGCTTGGATCTAAAGTGAATGCATTTTCATATCTGCCCAGGACAGTTATGTAACAAGAGAAATGACACAATCAATGAGCTTTATGCTCATACACACATAGACTGAGGAGGGACATATTGAGTTAAGAGAATTTTAGTTTCTCATTATTATATATAATTCTGAATAACAACAACAAAATGAATTAGCTAGACAATTCAAAGCAAAGAGAGCTACATGTATTTGGAGAAGGCAAATCTGTTAGGTACATTGTAGTTTCTCATCACTAATGAATGACAAACTACATTCTATTTGGGGAATGAAATGTTAAAGCAGCCTAGGTGGTTCTCTTAACAGTAGTCAGGAATCAATACAGGGCACTTGAGGCAGCAATTTCCCGACAGTCAGTCAATCTCATAATGCTGTAATATGGTTTTGACCAAAGGCCACAGAAAGAGACATTTGTTTTATAAGCTGGCATTGGCAATGAGGTGAAGGACATTGTTGCAGGGAAGGTGCCAAGCTTAGCCAGCTACAACTGCTTACTTTCAGTCAGGGGTGCAGTGCCCTACCTGGCCAAGCTGTTCACAAGCTGTTTGATACTCAGCTCGCTGACAGAGGTCTTTCACGCGCTGGTATTTGGGTAGAAAGTTTTCTTCTTGGGCATCTGCCTTCTCGTTCTCCCTCTTATGCAGCAGTTTACTGGAAAAAAAACCCAAACCAAACAAAACCCCACAAGATTTATTTTTTCATTAATATTAATTACAAGATATAAATACAATTTGCTGAAAAGACTCATAGGTGTAGGTTATTTGCCAATTCCATGGCATCACTGGTAGCCAAAACTTACTAGTCCAGTAGGAACCAGCACTTAGCCTCTCTGATAACACACAAGTTACTCATGTCATGCGCCCAGGGAGCATACAAAATCAGGACAGTGTGTTTCACGTCTGATTGGCAAGCAGTGACAACAGTCAATATAAAGATATGGTCATCCTTCTCATCCTACAGGGCTGCACTTTGCAAACCCCTCAAGCCCCATCTACGTATTAAGACAGAGGCAGAGAGGCAATGCCCAGCAGATGCACCCGCCAAGAGGAAAAGTTATTCATCCTCCCACGCTACAAGCAGGAGGGCAGCGGGGAGCAGCTGAAAGCAAAATGGGATGCCTTTCCATCTCTCAGTCCCAGTAAACTCCCCTTCCTCCACCCGAACTGCACACTTATGCAGGCTGTAGGCAAAGGCCATACATTCCCCTCCATCACACAATCACTGCATTAGGCACACTGCAGCCTGCCCCTGCTGGCACAGCTAAATGGCTTTGGGTCTGTGGTAGAGTGCTGCTTTGGCTTTAGCTAGTCAGTATCTTTCTATTTTAAAAGACTGGGCTTTGTGATTAACACTTTCCTTACCCTCTTTCCACTAAGAATGAGTCTCTCCACACTTTCATCTTTTTCTTCAAATGGAACCTAGGAGGAAACAAGGAGAGGACTGAGCACTTCCCACAAAACCAGTAACCAAGCTCTGCCCCATTTCTCCCTCCCAGCCACAGTTCTGACAAGAAACATGCCATGTAAGTGCACAAGGGGACAGCCAGCCCTATGAAGCAGGCACATATGCCTCTCCAGAGCAAACCATGAAAAACATAGGACAGATAATTCTCACGGGGCAAAATCCACAACAGGTTCACACAGTACAATTACTTCAACATAAGCGTGTTTAAAAGGCACAGGGAATTTACTGAATTGTCCTTGATCACAAAGGATTGCAAATTAAATCAGGATTTCCTGACTCAAGTTTGGGCCCTTAACCCACAAAATTTCTAAATTCTAAAGTAGCCACTCCTTTCCCCCTTCACCCTCAACTGCTTGTAAAGCAAATCACCTTCCTTTTTTCTACTGATTTTCTGTAGCAAGCATCCAGTATAATTCTCTTCCTCAGCCTTTCTCCAATAAAAGTATTGATACACAGTCTTAAATAATAACTGTAATTTTGAGTGCCAGCCTGGTTTTATATTAGTCTGATACACAATCAACCCTTTCAATTATTCTACAATTTATTCAATATGAAACGCTTTGCTCCAAATGATGTCACAGATGTTTAAAATCTCTAACTCATATAGCTGAAGACCTTCATGCATAGCCCTCTCACTTCTACACAGACTATATGTAGTATATCCAGACGCCGCATATGCCATGTATCTCGTATACGAATGTGCCAAAATGAAAATAAATACCTGAAAAGAGTCTCCAAACTTTCCAGTGAATGATGTACTCATACAGATGTAATTTTATTATATTTTCCTTTAAATCTGTTGCATGCTGCTGAATCTGTGTTCAGACCCTTGTACAATCACATGCATGTTTCCATGCACATTTCTTACCTATTTACTGGTCTCTCGGAATCCAGCAGCTTTAGAATGGATTTACCATCCATATCAGAGGGAATATCCAATCCAGCAATATCTAGAATTGTAGGTGCGAGATCGATATTCAACACAATGTGAGGATTCCTGGAAAAAACACACAGCAGAACCCAATCTAAAGTCTGTTCAATGGTACCAAACAACTCCAGACCTTCCACAGAGCCCCAGAACCTGAAAAGGCTTATTTTGTGACACAAGCAAAGAAAAGAGGACACAATCCAATTCCTCTCCATGAAGGGAATTAAAACATAATATAGAGATAAGTTGAATAACCTTAAGAGGACCAATACAAATATTTTAAAACTTTAGCACAGAGCATTTTTGAGAGAGCAAAGTAGTTCATAAAGCAAAGTTAGTTAATTATTGTAAAAGACTGTTCAAAAGTATTTCAGAAAGTGAGAAACCATTGGAAAAACTGATTGGGTGTCTTACAGAATCCAAGTATCTGCAAAATATGCTGACAGCTATTAAAAAGTAGACTTGGCAGGTAGCACATGCTTTATCTGCTTCAAAATACGGTACAGAAATGAGTCCCCTCGGCTCATATCACAGTAGGCATGTTCTGAAGAGAGCACAAGGAGAAGGATATTGCTAGACACATCAGTAAACAACAAGTGACTGCTAATTTACAGTGTGAGACAGAAAAAGGATCAAGAAAAAAGAAAGAAGCGAAGAGGGAACAGCTATGAAGAAAAAAAACAACAGAGAATGAAAATAACAGCTTTGTTTGGAATAGTATCAGTCTGCCCAAGTGCACAAGTTTGCACCTTCTGCAAACACTCTGAAATAGCCATGCCCTTGTACTTTGCAGACTGCTGCAAATGCTCCTCAGCCACCAGCTAAGAGGACAACATCTGAACTCAGGCTGACTTCAAATTTGATTAAAACATTGGCATCAGCTCCTGAGCAGTCAGACAGTTTTTTTCCCCAAATCCTTTGAACTACCACAGCTAAATGAGTGAGTTCACAGATCAAAGCACCTAGGTGCACAGCCCAGAATCTCCCCTGACACACCTGTATGCTGTTCCCTCGTGTCCTGTCACCAGAGACAAGACTCTGGTGCCTACCCCTTTGCTTCCCCTCACGAGGAAGCTGTCGACTATTATGGGGTCTCCCCTCAGTCTCCTCTTCTCCAGGCTGAACAAGCCAAGTGACCTCAGTCACTCCTCATATAGATTTCGCTCTAGACTCTACATGATCTTTGAATGCTCTTTAACAGCTTTATATCCTTCTAATGTTGTGGTTCCCCAAACTGCCCCCGGGACCCGAGGTGAGGCTGCACCAGTGCAGAGCAGAGCAGGACAGTCACCTCCCTCAGACAGCCAGTGATGCTCTGCCTGATGCGCCCCAGGACACGGTTGGCCCTCGCGCACGCCAGGGCACACTGCTGACTCATCTCCAGCTCGCTGCTGACCAGGATCCCCAGGGCTGTTTCTGCAGCACAACCTGCCAGCATCCCATCCCCAGTCTGTGTGTACATCCAGGGCTCACCTGTCCCAGGTGCAGAGTTCAGCACGCGTCTCTGTTGAAGTTCATACAACTGGTGATTTTCCAGTCCTCTAATTTGTAAAGATTTCTCTGCAGGGCCTCTCTGCCTCTGAGGGAGCCAACAGCTCCTGCCAATTATGTATCAGCAGCAAACTTAGTATACCTTCGAGTCCTGCATCCCTGTTGTTTATGATGTTGAACCTTACAGACTTCTTTTAGCTATGTTTATGACAGTGTTGAAGTTAAGTGTGCAGTTACTCACAATGTTACCTATATACCTACTGTTTATCAGCTGAGTTGCTATTGCTTTGCCTCATTTTTTTTTCCAAAGGAAAAAAAAATCAAGACAGGCACTCAATTTCTTAAAAGTGTGGAAAAAAATAAGAAAGTGAGCATACTGCTATACAGAGAATCTTTTGCAGCACTGTGTATAAAGAATCACTGTGCTGTGATTCGAAGGCACAAAGGAAGGATGGGACCAAATGGGTTGTTATACCTGTCAGTGCAGAATTCTAGCTCAAAATACAGGACAGAAGAAAACTGCTGAATTCATACTAATTAATGAGACACTATTTAATAATTACTACATTTTTGAGCGAGCGAGAGAGCAAACAGGCACTGGCAAGAACATGGATGTTGAATTACATTGATGCACCTCATTTGATTTTAGTTACTAATAATTATAGTACAGCATATTTGGTAATAGAAATGAGAGCTCAGTAATGACTTGCAACAGTGACTGCTATTAAAATTTCAGGGAGTCATGACAATTACTCTGCATGAAAAACGTAAGGTTCATGCAAAACATGGATGACTGAAGATCTACAAGAAAACCAGGCTGAAAGGGAAGATCAATTTATGATCTGATATACTCCCCCTCCAAGCTATTTAATCCTGTTCTTCCTATTGGCTATACTGTGACAGGCTCTGTTCTGTTAAACTGGCAGGTTATTGGTTGGACTCGATCTTAGAGATCTCCTCCAACCTTGATGATTTTATGATTCTGTCAGGCTGACTACTCCAATTCTAACAGAAACATGTTTTCACCTTCAGAAGTCTCTGAAAAATAAAATTCAGTGGGAAGGTTTCACAGCATTTATGGATGTCTGGGTGTAAAGATCCTTGGACCAGAGCTGACATGATGTGGTTGGTCTCTAGAACTGCACGGTGCAGAAACACTAGCTCAGTTCGCTTGGGCCGTATTAGCATTGCCTCTCCACGAAGGCCAAAAACTGCAGGCAAAGGTAAAGAGCAGATTCTTGGAAGGCTACTCCAGCTCACTTGAAATTCTGTATACTGCTGCAGACAAAATCCTTTCAGTGCCGAGGCAGCATGTTTAAGTCCAACTGAGGAATCCCTCCCTGCTTTTTAGAGAGGTAGTATTTTTTCACATGCATAACCGCTGAAAAGAAATTAGACACACAAGGCAGTATCTATAGAATTTAACATTTTTGTTCCTACAGATAATGTGAATCAATGAATTTAACCAGCATATGGAATGAGATGGTTTCATAACAATTTGCTGTCATTATTATTACATACTAGATCCATTCCTCTGCATTAAAGAATAAAACCAACGGTGTGGAAGATTGTGTGTGTTAATTACGCTAAAACATGCACACTGATAAAACTAAAAGGCAGCAAATTATGGCACTCTGTCCAAAATCATTACTTAAGTGAAAATATTTGCTATTTGAAATAATTGCTTAGAAAGTGTATTTACATAATTTCTTAGTTGATCAAAGCTACCATTTTAATTAACAGTCATACTCTGCATGCTTGTGCACATCTGACAAACAGCCCTAACCATGTCATCTCAAAGAATGAGCCAAAAAGAATCTTTCGTGGATGACAATACATGAACGATTCTTCATAAACTGAAACAAGTGACTCCAATGTTCAACAACAATTAATCTACTGTGGCAGTGAACATTACACAGTATATTATTTTACTTGAAAATTACATAGATATGTGTGTAATTTGCACCCCTCAAAATAATGCAAATAAGGGTTTCCTAGGCTGGACATATCTCAAAGTGATTTTTCAACTTTTCCATTTCCACAAAAGTGCAGTGGCTTGTGCTACACACCCACACAACAGAAAGGCAAGGCCTTGACTTTGTTATACCAGCACGTGCTAGCAGTTCTGCTTTCCCAGTAGACATATTTTTCTGCCAAAGATGAGCAGGAAGTCAGTCAGGATAGGCAGAACTTTGTGCTTCCGTTTAGCTGCCAGGTCAATACGACTAAAGATGTGAACATAAACAATTTTTCAAGTCACTACATACACACACACAACAGCCAAGAACTTACAAGGACCCAGCCTCCACATTCGGACCTCGGACATAGAAAGGAACTCTGATATCAAACTCGTATGGCATGGACTTCCCTTTCACCAGCCCAAACTGCCCAATATGATAACCATGGTCTGCTGTGTATATTATATACGTATTGTCCAGTTCTCCTGTTTCAACCAGTGTACTGTAAATCTGAAAAAAAAACCAAAACAAAATATTAATTTCATTCCACCAAGTGGAATAATACATGTGGAATACTGGATAACTTTTTCTGCCTTTGCGTAACATACAAATAAATAACAACAGCTCAGGATGGCATGGAGTTAACACAGTGAACCACTCTGAATAATCCATAATCACATCTTAATTTTACTAACTGAACAGTGTGGCTATTTACAAGGCAAACTTCTGTTTTCTGTTCTAAGGTAAACACATTATCATGCCACATTCTCAAAAGTGTCTGGGTTCGGTATTTTGCATGAGAGCTGACAAGGTAGTACTAACTACATACGGTTACAGAGATAAAACTTTCAAGGTGTCACTTTTGAAATTTTCTCTCCACCTTTATCTTTTTCCTGTAGCAAACAATTTCACTAAAATGACAGCATTTTGAATCTCACACATATTTACGCAACACTCAACGATCTTGCCTTCGGACAAATGAGTCCACATTATGCAGAATATTTGCAAAGTATCTTCCAGATAAATATCACTCATAGTCTCTCACTTCAAAGACGTAAGAGGAGATTTGACTCTGTGGTTCCTTTTATAGATTTACATTAGAGTCTTTATGTTAAATGTACCAACTTCAGCACCAAACATCAACATTTATATGACATTTTCACTTGCAAAGGTACAAATGTGTTGGTGTACCACCCAAGTGCTGCCTCACACAGATGCAGAACACATCAGCACAGAAGAAAACAAACTCTTGTTCTTTGGGTTCGGGGGTTTCTTTCTGTTTCTTTTTTGGGTTGTTTGGTTTGAGGTTTTTTGTTTATGTGTTTGTGGTGTTTCGGTTGTTTTGTGGGAGGGTTTCGGTTGTTTTCAACTTTGAAAGAATATTAGACACATGTAATTCAGTAGAAAAGATCAGGCTAACTTGGTAATTAGAACTAGAAAACAATCTAACTGATTTTGCCTGCAGTGAATTACCCAGAGTGAAACCATTTTACTAAACGGAAAATCCAAACAGTGTAGTAAAATTAGCGATTTCCCCTAATGCTGCTATCTGATCCATCTAAACCAGTTCATTAAGATGAAGCAGAGATCATACTTGCCTGAATCAGTAATTATAAGACATTTGTAACAAGTTTATGCAATGCCATCCAGACAAGATTATCTTTGCCTTACAGGACTCCCCTTACTTTATGCTCTACCTTTTGAATAAGAATGCCAAGAGATAAGCAGTAAATTGCAACATCTCTAAATCTGCCTTTTTACACCTGGAAAACGATTCTTTTTCAGAGCAGCTTTTAGTGAAGTCAGAGTTTCTGCTCAAGACACCCAGGTTGCATTGCAAGATCTCATTGTTACATAATGCAGACTTAATTAAAATTTTTAAAGTATCAAGCTACGTATTTCTTTACTTCCAACATCCTGGGCTGGGTTTACCGTGGCATGATTTCAGTTAGGACTTGTGTAATATCACTTTTTGCTGCTGTTCTTATGGGGTCAAAATAAGCACACATTTATGTAGTTATTTCCAACAGATTGTAAGATGACTCTTCTCTGCCAGAGGACTCCTTTTTAGGATTTATGAAATATCTTTTAGGTGATCCCTTCCTCTTCCCTTTCATCCATAGCGGATCTGCGGCAACAAGTCAGCTCACTCACACCACTCAACTGATGGTACCTGTCTTTAGGAGATGAGGATCCTTACACATTGATTAAAGAGGCATTGATCAGAGGTGAGAGGATCGCACACTATTAGAAAACTGATGCGTCTTCCTCCTTTCTCCCTCATCTTCATATACAGCATAATGTGGAGCTTAACTCAAGAAACAAGTACCTGTTTAGCAAAAAAAAAAAAAAAAAAAAAAAAAAAAAAAAAATCAACTACTAATCTTACCATCTCCATAGAGTCATCCACAGACATGAGTGTTTGAAGGCGCTTTCTCTGTAGCATGTTAGTGAACTCCATGTGTATAGGTTTCATGGGACCTGTATATCTCATTATCCAGTGCTTGTCTGGGTTTGGAGCATAGTTATAACTGGGCGTGCTAAGGAACAGAGAGAAAACCAGAATGTTTTAGCAGAGTAGAAAAAAGCCATAGTACTGAATATCAATAATATAATTTCTATCTGATCAACACTATAGGACTTACTCTCTGAGGCGCACCAGAAATTATTAGATTTATTTTTTAAATATCTTATACTTTCATGTTCTAAATGAAACATGGGAAAATGAAAACAACTTTGTGGGGAGCAAACTCTATGAAAAGAGTAAATATACCTTGTTTTTGCAGTGTCTTCAGACTAACATGGATATAGTTCCAGGCCAAGAGACTAGCCTCAGCAGTCTTAACTCCACAGTACTATGAGGATGAAGCATGTATTGCAGAGCTTCTGCTCATGTAATTGCTTTGCTTTCACTCTGCCCACATTAGCACCAAACACTATGCATGGCTTGTGCAGGCTGTTTAACAATAACTATAGAACTTTCTGAAAAGGTTCTACTATGTTCTTAACAGCTTTTTGGAATTTAACATGACTGGTTCCTTGAATATTTTAACACTCATGCACCAGAGGAGCACAGACACTGCCAACTGGTATCCAACTGTATGGGAGCTCATGTGGATACACAGCCAGATTTTAAAGGGCTGCTTAGAAAGGCAGGGGTGAGGGGAAATAGGGCTGTATTTTTGCAGATCCTTCGTGATCATCAGATATGTCAATTAATTAAAATCCTAGAATTGTAGAATTTTAGGGGTTGGAATGGACCTTAGAGATCATTTAGTCCCAACCCTCAATAGACCAAGTTGCTCAAGGCCCCATCCAACCTGGCTGTGAACACTGCCAGGGTTGGGGCAGCCACAGCCTCCCTGGGCAACCTGGGACAGTGTCTCATCACTCTCACAGGGAAAAACTTCTGCCTAAGATCTAACCTAAATTTCCCCTCCTTCAACTTGAACCTGTTACCCTTTGTCCTGTCACTGCATTCCTAACAAAGAGTCCCTCTCCAGCTCCTTGTAGGTCCCTTGCAGATACTCAAAGGCTACTATGACAAGGTTACTATGAGGTCTAAAATCCCAAGAACTGTATTTAATGTCCCCCTGAAATCTCACTGCCCTCCAAGTTCTCATGGTCCTGGGCCACCAATAAAGCGATGAGGAAAAGTATCACAGAGTGTCCATAGTTTCACATTGTTGGGAGTCCCAGAGATCACTTTTCTGTGCATAATTATATTGCTTTAAGTTAGCTGAACCTAAATAAAAGATTTGTTTTATTACCATGATATCAACTGTCTGCATCAACAACTCACTAAAAAGCTGTATTACAGCTTATACTTGCAAGAAATGTTATTTTTACCTACTACATCTATTCCTGAAAAGTTTGCTATTACTCAAGGCTGAAAACCACCTTTTACCATTTCTTAACATCCTGGTTCAAACACACCGCCTGCAGAACATAAAATATTCAAAAATTACTTTTCCTAAGTAATTTCATTAGGCTTCCATTTTTCATTCAAAGCAATAAACTTAGTCTATGCAAATGTGCAAGATGAGAGGGTGACACAGTAACTGAGGAAAAAAATAGCAGATACTCAGTTACTTTCCTCCTAGCAACACAGAATTTCCTGATAAATTCTGCTCCTGTTTGGCAAATACCTGCTGCTGGTTTTGTGTACTCAGGAGAGCAGCAGGGAAAGTTATTAGAAGAATAGTAATGTAAGTTGAAACTTCTCTTCAAAATACTGTGTATCTAATGTATCTTTGAACATGACAGGCAGTCTTCAGAGATTTAATATAAATATGAAACTAATAATCTGACAGTGAAATGTTTTACGCCAAAAGCCTCTGTTAGATGCTATCTGAAAAATGTGCGTAGGTGGCAAATTGAGGCTTCTTCATACAGGGAGGAAAGGGCTGGTGTTTATTCTCTCTGTATTGTTAATGGTCTCTTGAATTTCAGAATGTTATTGTGGCTGAAATAATGATATTGCTTCTTTGAAAATGCTGACAGTTATGGAAACTGTTGCTGTGTAATGCCCAGAACGAATCAAAAATGCTTGGCAACTCCTTTCCAGCTTACTTTGTGATATCCTGACCAATTTGAAACCTCCCACTATTTAATCCAACCAAAAAGCCCATGATTTTTTTTTGATTATGACTAATGTAACTCTCTTACACTTGACAGATTTGTCTGTCTTATGGGAAAAATACACATATGTAACATTCCTAGAAGGTGGTTGAGGTAACTTCTTCAAATGTACCCAGAAGATAAGTCCCAGTCGGGTTGCATAAAACCTTGACAAAGATGGGTGGTAAAATGTAGCCTCTGTTGAAAGAACATCTGATCACTGTTAAGCTGTCCAGCTGTTGTGCTCTCTGCAGCTCACAGTCTAGGCAGTAATAAAGGAAAACCAGCTATGTAGCCTAGGGATTTGCTATGTGAGTAATTTTCAAACAAGACCAAAGAAGCACAGGGAAAGAAGCTCTACAGAACAGGATGGAGAGAGACTACGGTATAGGGTAGAACTGCCATAGCAGCAAGTATACAGAATAATAGAAATAAGGGAACAGCAGCATAAATTAGCCACAGAAGTACACACCAGAGCTTCCAAGCAAAGAAGCACTCTGTCAGTCTATGCTAAAATCCACACCACTAGCTTTCAGCCATTACTAGCAATCAAACATGATGCAGTATGCAATGCAAACCAATGTCAAGCATTACAGTGCCACCTTCACTATGCTCTGTGGGCTCAGCTCCAGTATCCACATGCAGACACTGTGAGCTCTGCCACAAGGAGAGGTACAGAGCCACACCACAAGGTTTTGGGACTAGGTAAAGACTTTGTTCAAGGTCCTGCTTACTGCTTTAGGGCAATTCCTAAGTGTTCCACCTGCATTCTGACCCTTCCCTACCATATCCACAGGACAAACAGTGAGAGCTGCCTACAACCCTGTAGCATTGACAGACTTTTCAGCACTGAGGTATTCCCTGAAATGTGGGAACAAGGGGAAAATTGGAAAATAAAGACATAATTTGCATCATTCTCTCACTGTATGCACATGTTCTGCATTTTTGCATTTACTCTTAAACCCAGGTCAATGAAAACCCTTACAAATCAATATTACTGTTATTATTATGCAGTGCTGGAGAAACTGCTTAGAAGACAACTGGCAGGTTCTTTGCTGAAATGTACATAAAATCCCATTTTATGTTCATATCCAAAAGAAAAACACAGTTGCTTAATCTACCAAGATAATTCTTTACAAATAGAACAACTTTCCACAAAGTAACACTTCCTTTGTAATTATTTTCATTGTAAGAAAAGTCATCTAAAAGGAAAAAAAATTATGTAATTATTTTATGATCAGGAAGATAAACCTAATTTGTGTAAACAATAAAATTTAAACTATGAGCAAAAGAAAAATAGATGCAGTTTCTATATTTCATTGATGGCCTTCCTTAAATCCTTCCACTCTTTTTCATTTAACTAGCAAGCGAATCGTTACAGAACGCTGCATGCTAAATGATTATAACCTCTGAGATTCAAATGCCTTCCAAAGGAACCTAGCAAGACTGAGGTCAACACTGGCTATAAGCCATAAGAAGCTGCTCATTGGGTACTTCTATAATTTTCACTTCAAAGAACATAAATGAGCACAAGACAGCAAACAAATATGAAATGCTTCATTGCTGTAGATCTATGCCACTGATTCTCTTTGGGCACAGCACAAAATAATGAAATACATAATTCTACGTTATGCAATAACTGGACAATAGAACAAAGAAAGCTTTTTCTCTTAGACTCACTCTATTTCCAATAAAGCAAAAGAGCTTAAATGGATTACTCCGGAGGAGGGAGGTCTGAGCAGCTTCAGCCACCAATTGATTATTATTTCCATCAGTTCCTAGCTTCTTCACAAATCCAAAATAAAACAGAATTCCCCTTACAAAGGGGGAAGAGGGTGAGGTGGCACACAGGAAGGAAGCTACAAATGTTGAACATCAGTGAAGGCACGAAGCAGCAATCAGAAAACTATAGGAATGTCTTTAGTTGCGCTGAGGTGATATGGGAGAACCATTCATTTTATCCACAGGCAAGGAGATACTTGTGAGGCAGCACTACAGAACTGCACTTGTCAAATGTCTCTGTGCTATTACCAAGAACCATCTCAACACAGAGCTTATGAACACGCTAAGCCAGGAACCAGGCGATAATGCTTTTGGGACCCGTTCAAGACATTGTCCTGGGTCATGCAACGACATACCAGCTCACTCAGAAATAGCATGTCTACTTTGGTGCTGCAGGCCTGTTCTTTTCTTTCTTTGCATATATGAAACTGGAGTAATAAGTATTGCACACTATGTGATTTCTGCTAATACCCAGAAAATAATATAGCTTATTCATAAAGACGGGGAGATAGAGTTTCTTCCCCTGAAGAGACTACAGCCAAGAACCAGATTTTGACCTCCCTGCTCCAAATATAAACAGCGTTTTACTTCCCAAATAGGCTGTAACAATGTCCAAAGAATTCAATACGAGTCTTTCCATTTATCTCAATGAGCTACAATTCCGAGCTCTGGATGCAGTAGCCATTCTCAGGATACTTGTACTAGTCTGAAGAGGTACAAAAAAACCCCCACCAAATCCCCAAACTCTTCTTACATATTTGTGTCAAAGCTATGCCAAGAGTATTATAAAGAAAACATTCTTCCCCCAGAGGTACCCAGGACTTCCATACTCCAGAACCTGAAAATCAAAGGGGTTTATTTTCCTTACATGTGTTGTGAGGCATTAGGAAAGAGATGTGAGTACTGAGGGGCCGAATCTTCAGGGCCGTGAGGAGCAGCATGGCTTATAACCATCAGTACAGGCCTGTGAGGATACATCTTCTTCGATATTCTGAAGAAGGTAATACTGTCATTGGTAATCAGATCAGTTAAATAATCCTGCAAGCAGAAGTAAAAGTATAATGAGATATTTGAAAAGGAATTTCAAAGTGGAGGGTGAGATGGGAAGGCCAGGTCTGAGGTATCATAAGAAACAGGAGGAAAAGAAACTATTTCACTTAGCATGGGAGGAGAATGGAGTACGTTGCACATGCTAAAGACTGAAAAACTAGAACCAAATCATTCTTCCGTCACTGCCTAAAAATACAAGAAGCAACAGCTTCTAGCTTGTTCCCAGAAATGAATGGCATTAAAGGAGATCAAATATTACTCTTCCTTCACAAAGTGAGTAACTGCATTCTAAAGATGGCAATACTAAATACGATGGCCAGGTCATAATAAACATTTTTAAAAATTTAAAAAATAAAAAATAAATAAACAGTGCCAGTATTGTTGCGATGTACAGTCTGACCTCACATCATAACACTGCTTTGAAAATCCAAGGGACTTGTTCTTTTTTCTTAATCTCCCTCTGAACCACAAGTCACTAAAGCTAGAAGACCCTGGGCTAACTGAACCAATAATTTCACTCAATATTGCAGTGACAACCTGATAGACACACAGCTCTATGACATATATTGCTCAGAACTTAGAAAACTTCCTTTGGAAGAGCTGGACTATCTATTCACTAAGATATATCATTCTTCTGAGATCTGCTGGAGCTATAGGGATTGAAGACAGTATTTTTAAAGACAAGCCATGTTCTTGCTTCAGCTGCTTCACAGGAAACGCTACAAATATAAATACTCCTCAAACATCAGTAGGATATGAAACTGCACCTTTAAAAAAACAAAATAATAAATGTCACATCACAGCAGAATGCAAAATCAGACACAGCACTTGCCTCTGATCAATCCAACCAGTACAAGTACAAGGTGTGGTACATATTGGATTGCATCTCCTTTAAGTACAGCTTTCTGTCTGTGGTTTAGATACTTGGCTCCTCTTCACCACTGTCAGTTCATGATTCATCAAGGGAAGCCTTTTTCATGGACTGTATTTATTTTCCCCAAGTTATCTCCTGTCTATCCCAGAACAAGACTGGCAAAGTATCCATTTATAATTTTACACATTGGTCCCAACATGAGCCATGTCTGTTATGAAACTGCTATGATTCTGACTGTTACTGAGATGATATTTTCACTCATGAAAGGAGGTATAAATAGGCACTAACGGAAAGACTTCTATTCATAAGCATATGCAGGGGAAGGAAAAATGTACAATAAGCCAGAACAAAGCAAAACTGACTTTTGAACACGCTTTCAATACCTGAGACGATACTCGTAGCTGAGAGAGAATACTGGAGTGCTCCCAAAAAGGCACTGCCCTTTATCTCAAATGTGCCTTTAAGCTTCTCAGTTACTTTCAGTGTGTAAATCATCTTTGATTCAGTCATTACAAGAGCATAGTTTTGCAGCTTCATTTTGACAATGAAGGTTTTCACCTGGTCAAATTGAAAAATCACTGCAAATCCACTGCTTACCAGACCCAAAGACCAAACAGAAACATTTCAACTAACTGATTTCTTAGATTTTTTTTTAAAGCTCCAGGTTGTAGAGGTTGTAGCTGTATAAAATTAAAATTCATCTAAAAAAACGGTTGACAGAAACTGAAAAGGAAAAATCAAAGTTGAATGTATCCTGTGAGAAAATCTGGAAGAATTTGATTTTCAGAGTATAAGTGCTTAGCAGCCACTCTGGAGAACAAAATATTGGGTTTTTTTCTAGTTTTCCACTGGCACATAATTAACATTAACTATGTTAGGACTAGAAAATAAATCTAATTACATTATTCATTGCTGGAAAATTAAGTTCCCAGCAACAAAAATGAAAGCAAGTGAGACAGTCTTGTATTTCAGCTGTTTGTTCATGTGAACTCCAGTGCTAACATCAATCAGTGCTGTTGCTCTGCACAGTCGTCTGCTGTCTGTTATGCAAGAATATGAAGATTATAAAAATATCTGTATTTTCATCAGTCTTTTTTTTATTTATTACCAAACTCGATAAGAAAAAAACCTAAAACAAGTGAAAACTTAAACATTTTCAAGTACTGCATACACAAAACAGAGCTGAGGATGCTGGAACATAGAGCTCCCTGATGGCTCCTTGGTCCAATGGGGATGGGGAGCAGTGCCTATGAAATCACTTGCCTGACACTCTTCCACAGAAGATATATTTCTGCCACAGCATTTTTGGTACACAGCTGTAAAGACTAGTTCTCATTCTTCATAGGCCAGAAGGAAAATAAAAGGCAAATAAATCTGTACACCAGTTGTCCCTTCCCCTTAGCAGCTGGTGATAGAAAAGGAAACCCTAGAAGACTGCGAAGTTTTCTCTTTCAGCACAAAGTATATTCAATTAAAAAAAGCAAATAGGACAGAGGAAAGGGGAAATCATATACATCAACCATTTAAAGGAAAAGCTGACTGTGAGCACAATGCTAATGAAACACAAATACAGAGGCAGGATTTGTGCTCAGTAAGTGAAAGCAAATCAAATCCCTGTTAAACAAACACACGTTACAAATCACTTCAGAGTAAGCCAACTTCCTAAGTTATCCACTACAACTAGAGCAGTTTATGGATAGACTTATTTACCATCATACCTCAGAGTCAATTTAGCCCATTTTAGGGCTTCACTAAAGCTGGTTCCTTTGGAAAGGAACACTTTTGGCTGAAACAAACATACTGCCCAACTGCAAACAGGTACTGACCTGTAATATGTGTTAGCTGAGGAAAAAAATGATACTGCATTTGACAATGACTATCGAGCATTTCAGTGAGTTTGGCCAGGGTATAACATCCTTGAAAGGGTATTAGGAAACACATGCATCTGTATGCATGGCAATAGAAACGTAATAGCTAAATTCTCCACTCATTCAGAATTACCATATGTTGTACCAAGGCTCTGTGAATTCTCCATCATACTGTGGCTGTGAAACAAGGCCCTTAAACCAAAAAGATAGGTCTAGCTGGAGGGAACTGGATCCTTATCTCATTAATGCTTGTGTAATTCCACTGCAGTCAGTTCTAAACTAAGGGAATAGATGACAATCAGCAAACAAAAATTAAAATACAAAGCACATAAATAGTTATCATGCAGCACTTAAATCCATTTTCACATCTTCAACCCATAATACCTAATACAGTCCCAGGACATTTTGTTTGCTTCCATTGCTGCTAACAATGTTTTCAGTAACATGACCCTCCCAGAGTAAAAGATAAATGTCCAAACATCACCGTTACTGGGTTGTAGATAATGTTACATGTACCAGCTTTCAAGTACGAAAAGAATTCTTTAGTTAGACTGAAACCATGAAGTGCTGATTTCTTGTGGTCATGTCCAAACATTAATGGAAAGAAATCAAACAGGACCTACCCTGGAGTAGTCATATCCATGCTTCTCCTTCACTCCATTTCTACAGAGTGTGTAGTTGTAAAACCGAGAGTTTTTAAGTAATCCAACCCATTCTTTCCAACCAGGAGGCACATAGGAGCCATTGTATTCATTAAGGTACTTTCCAAAGAAAGCTAGGGGTAGAAAAAGCAGAAGGGTAGTGAGAAGGCGTAACAGAAACACTTCAAAGACACCATACTTAACTAGATTCTTCCCTTTCTGTTTCTTCTTAGAACAACTTTCTTCTCTCCATTGCAATGGAGTTAAGTTCTGAGTTTTAAGTTTGCCCGTGGTATTTTTAGCTATATTTCCATAATGTAGATCTTTTGATTTACAACCTGGCTATGTACAGGAGAACCCAGACCACAATTACCATTATACTTTCTTTAGTGCCTGATACATTCAGAGCCAGATGAACAAAACAGAGAATGCTTAAAATAGTGCCAGTTGCAGCATTATCTCATCCTACCTTGATCCACCCAATTTAGCCACATTTTTCATTTTTGTTACACCCACTTAGGCCATCTCCACCTATGGAACTGGCAAAAGTAGTGAAGCCACTAACAGGCAGCTGGCTTGGGAAAAATGATGACAAATGAGCACCATAAATATCAGGGGATTTTAAACTTGCTGCATAGAAGAAGGGAAGCCTGTTTGGCAGAAGTGCCAAATGACTACTAGGATTCTTACAGAACACAATTATACTGGAGGACTCCATGCACCTAAATAGGTTTTTAAAAGCGTAAAGGCAAAATTCTGCTCTAAGGCCTTCAGACTGCACAACTCAGCATCTGAGTTTTTGGTTATCGGAGCTCAGCTCTCAATTTCTGAATGGTGTGGCAATACAAGTCAGCATTACCATAGAGACTCACACAAAGATCTTTACACTTGTTCCACTTGTCATTACAAACATTTTAAATCCAGAGGCATATAGTGTCTGCAGCATGTCACACTGATCATCAGTGAACATCTGTGCTTCTATAAGGACAACAGAATATCTAAGATTCTGTTCTCAGACTGCGATTAAACCTCACCACATAATCAATGGGATTTGAGCATACAATTCTCACGTCTCAGGTTCTTAAGAAACAGTTTTTTAAGCTTGCAGACTATAATGTCTGATGCTGCATCTTCTTGTACTTATATAAATGCAAGAAGCAATACTACAGATAGAGCAGAACAGATTTTCTGTTAGTGTAAAAAGGGCCATTTTTTTGGTAAAAAAAATCTGAAGTCAGCAGATTTACACCTAGTTGTAGTAGGCTGAATATCTATCCAAAAGACAGACTCGGTGAGAAACAGTGACACAAAATAGTATGTGCGAATGCTCCATATCATACCTCATGGTGTTTTCTTTTGTAGAAAAATGAGAAACATGATATTAGCAACACAGCAAGAGAGTGGCATGGGATTCAATAAATTTACGTGTAGTAAGTACACCGTGCACAGAATGCCCACATGATCGGCAACACTGTTCAACATCTTTGTGGTGACATGGACAGTGGGATCAGTGCTCCCTCAGCAAGTTCACTGTCCACACCAAGTGTGTGGGGCAGTCACAGCAGGAGGGAAGGAATGGGACATCCAGAGGGGCTTTGACAGGCTTGAGAGGGGGAACAATGCAAACCTCATGAAATTCAACATGAAGTGCAAGGCCCTACATCTGGGCTATGGCAACCCCAGGCACAGCTCCAGGTTGGGTGGGGTAGGAATTGAGAGCAGCAACAAGGAGAGAGACTTGGGAGTGAGAGTGGATGAGAAGCTCCCCATGAGCTGCAGTGTGAGCTCAGCCCAGAGACCAATGGAATCCTGGGCTGCATCAAAATGAGTGTGGATAGCAGGTGAAGGGAGGTGATTCATGCTCTCTGCTCTGCTCTCGAGAGACCCACCTGGAATATTGCACACAGTTCTGGTGTTCTCAACATAAGAAGGACTTGGAACTGTTGGAGCAAGTCCAGAGGAGGCCACAAGGTTGATAAGTGGACTAGAGCACCTCCCCTATAAGGACAGGCTGAGAGAATTGGGGCTGTTCAGCCTGGAGAAGAGAAGGTTGTGTGGAGACCTCGGAGC